ACCCTACCCCCCTGAGAACACCCTGCATAGCCCCCCGGCACAGGGGTGGGGAACACCATGACACTGATGCCCCATGGGACCCCCACCAGTGCTGAGACCTCCATCCCTCACACGTGGGCCCTGGTGGGGACCCCCACCAGTGCCAAGACCTCCATCCCTCACCATCTCCCCCCCCATGCAAACTCAGCCTCTTTCAGGCTTGGAGCCGCAGAGAACGGGCCTCTTGCCAGCCCCCAGGACGTCCTGTTCCCGGCCCTGCCCCGCCCACGGCAGATGGGACATCTCTACCATCCTTCCCAGCCAGCACTGGGTAGAGGGGAGATCTCAGCCTCCAGCCCTTGCCTCCCAGATCTCAGCACATCAGGGGGTCACAGGGGGATCCAGACAAGTCCCAGCTGGGGTGATAACCCCCGCCCTGTGCTCCATGCTGGCTTGTTAGCAGCAGTGCCCAGTGCCAGTCTAGTGATGGAGCTCACAGCCATGAACAACGGACCTTCTAGGAGGCAGGCGGGCAGCAAAAGGGAGCTGGTGTTTCTGCGGCTCAGGCCCGTACCTGAGGGGGGCAAGACAGCCTCAGCCCCCAAACCCATGCTGAACACTTGCTCACAACTGTTCCCCCCGTGGAGTTGGGGAAACTGAGGCACGGGGAGCTAAGCCACAGCTGAGCTGGGAGAGATGGGACCGATGGCAAGCGCCAAGGTGCTGCCAAGTCCTGTGCGGAGCCCAGGTGTCCCGGACACACACATGCGCATGCATGCCCACGCCCCGGGAATGCAAGCGCTCCCAGCCTAGCTCGTGCGAGGAGGGGGGAGACAAGCAGCCCCCCAGGCCCTGGCACACGTCCAGCGTGGGCGGTACCGGCCGTGACGCCGATTCCGGGAAGCTCCATGACCCGCAGCCCCATGATGTGCCCCCGCTGGGCACGGTCCCTTCTCCCTGCATGGCTCCCTGCCTGGGGCCCGCCAGGCTCCCCGAAGCCCCGGCGAAGGGGGGGGGGGTTGTGCAAGTCCTGCCAGCCCCATCTGTGGTGCCCCCTGGCACCGGGACGGAGCTTCCCCACCTCCGGGACGCGGCTCCCCCCGCCAGGGCTCCACACAGGGGTCAGGGCGGCGCCCCCCGCCTCCTGCACACAGGGAAACTGAGGTAGGCCCGGCAGCGGAGGGAAACAGGCAGCCCACGCCATGCGCCCGGGAAGCCCCGGCTTCGGGGACACGCCCCCGGGAGGTGCAACTTGGTGCCCGCGTGTACAACGTCCCGCGCATGCAAGCCCCCGCGCACAAGGAGCGGGCGTGCACCGCCCCGCGCGAGCAATGTCCCGCGTCCAAAGCCCCGCGCCACCCGCCCCGCGCGACGCTCACCCCGACCCCGCGACGCCCGCTCCATCGGGCGCTCCCGAG